TTTTCCACCCCCAAAAATGTATAAAATTTCTGAAAGTTTCTTAAGTTCGATATTAAAAGGTTTACATAACCCTTACTATTTAGCATCAATAAATCCCATTTTTCACGGGCTTTCATTTGGTATAAAATTCATCATATCACCTATTTGAAATTATAGCGTTACCCCCCTGGAATAATATTTTTTCCAACCGTGTACAATCTAGTGACAAACTTGTTGATCTCTTGTAAAAAAATGATATTTTTAAGTTTAAATTATGACTTGAGAAATTTCTATATTATAGATCTTTATCACTGCTGTTGTGTTAGATGTTCACCAAATAAAATTTTCTCGTTAAAGAAATCTCAATATAAGCAAAAAAATATCTTCAATTTTGAAATCATATGCAATTGTTAAGATTTATTCGATATCAAAATTCAAACCAAAATTATTCTTTGTTGAAATGAATATATAATGTTGATTAATACGATTCATCAAACAAAACATTCATATAGATTTATACACCAAAGTTTTATACATTCAGTTTTTCTTTCTATATTTTCTTATGACTTCTCGAATCACGTGATACTGATATCGAATTAATCGATAGAACATTTCTGCTACTTCCAATAAAGATAAAAAACTGATACCAATCCAAAGACCTGTCTGACCGCCAACATCTGATAGAACAGCAATAGATCCCATCGATGGTGTTTGTGTATAATTTTCGACTAAAATTGATTCGTGTACTAATTCGATGGAGAGATAATTAGATTGAATATGTAAATACCAATTAGTCGACCAATCTGTAGGCAATGGAATTTTAGAGTTTTCGACAAAAGTTTTTATATCATTCATTAACCAATCAACTGGTGCTTTCCACATTGATGATTTGACAATAAAATCCGTAATTGAACATTGTTGTGAACAATATGAACAATATCCCTCAAGTAAAATTGATGAATTCATCAGAACAATGGCCGCTTCAGTATAACATGTATCAGATATATTACATAATGGAGCTACGATTATTGTTTCAGTTTGTGGTAGAAGAATTGAACGAGCATTCCATTGTTTTGGATCAATACAACCGCACATGTAATACCTGTAATCGAATCAGCAAGTTAAATCATTTATTCATATGAATATTAATATATTTACGTGTAAACTTGTGTGCACAAATCATAACATATATCTTCTGAGTAAACATATTCGACATCAGGATAATTATTAAACATAGCTTGCATGATAGGTGGTATTTCATCATTACATGCTGTATAAGGTGCGCGCAAATAGGAAATAGTCTTCTTTGCATATGTCATTCGATGTTTGAAACCCGTGGCCAATGCCCTACCAGCAAATTCAATCATAGGAAATTGTGTATTATCATGCACCATCCCTATCATGCCTATATCTGAGATTAGATAGATAATTAATTTTGATACTTATCAAAGATTATTATACTACTAACCTTCTTCAATATAGGGTACATATTGATGACTATGTACATAGAAACTTAGTTCGAGTTTACCAGATCCACCATATTCATTACTTTTACGTACATTCGTCATATTCTTTAATTTAGTATTCAATGTATAGCAAAGACCATATGAAGATGAAGAAAAGGAAGTGAAATCGGATGCTGAACAATTCTTATTATTAAAAACGCATTTAATGAGCATTGAACTCAATGGAAAAAAATACATATTTAACGACTCATTTTGATTGGTTTTCATTCGAAAAAATTCATTAACATATTTAGCTTGTAGTAATGAAAATGATGTTGTATCATTTGTGTTAGTGACATTCAATTCATTAGTATAGTTGAGAAAAGGTACGATGAATTGATCATAACGAATGCGTGCAACATTACAAATAGTAAATGCTGGAAAATTTTGTGGCCATTCGCTCACTATATTTATTGATGTCTGTGTAGAATATTGAAAATATTCGCGAATTGTTTGAATGACAAAGTACAATGTAATGCCACTGAAAATAACAAATGAAATCGACCAAAAAATTCTATTTTTTATACTTTGACTTCGTGCAATGCCCGGAATTCCATGAGCGGATGTATTGAGAGCGAATTCGCGTATAATTGACCGCCATCCATGTTGTTTTCGATCGGATTCAATTGTTATTTTATCAATAGAAAAGATGGTAGCTAAGTGCATATATTTATGTATACTTTTTCCTCAAATCATAAACAATCGATTACTAAAAAAGAAGAGAGAAAAAAAATCTTTGAGTATACGTATATGTTTGAATTTCATTTAGTTTCATTTTTGTTAATGTGAAACACTAAGAAAAAAATGGGATAAAGTTGAATATATCGTTGTCTGTTACTCCACATACAAATATGTCGGATTATGATGGGGTTCCAGGAGTGTCGTCATTTAAGCTACTAAAGAAATTTTCTTAAGATGATGAAGCACAAAATAATTTCTTTTATGTAATTATTCCAACACTCGCAGTCGTGCATCGAACAGTAACGGCAAAAAAAGTCAACTCGCTTATATTTTTTGACTTTCTCCTTTTTCTTCATGATAAGACTTGAATAAATACCACAGCGAATGAGCAAGCTCTGTTTAAATAACTGATTCTATTATGTACAAATTAGAACTAACGCAAACTCAACACACAAAAATTTTCATCAAATTCGATATATTTTATGGACAAGATTTAATAATATCGAAGCTTTAGTTTTATATTGAATGGTCGATTTTTTTAAAGTCAACGAAGCTACAATTCGTGTTATAATATATCATGATCGAGGAATGAAATAGACTGGAAATATTGTTTTTTTTTATAGTTGAAGTTTTCTATTATGTATAGTTGTCCTAGAATTTTATTATTTTTAGAAAAAAATTCTTTTCCAAAATATTTTTGAAGAGAACTCACTGAAGAGTTTGATGGAACAATATCAGGAACATTAAACTCAATCAACTTAACAACAGAAAACAGATACTGTAAGGTCGATGTTATCTACCATGTGTATTAGATATTCTTTTAAAGTTTTATTCTACTACATTTCTTGCATTGATTCATTCTTGATATTGAAGTCTGAAGAATTCAAATACGAATTCTTTTCAAACCAACGATCTGTAGACATGAATACTCTGATGATAACCTATTATTTTATTGTAGCTTAATACTTTCAAATAAATAGCATCTTTGACGCAAAAACACTTAACTAAGTCATCGTTTTTTCTTTGTACTACTTTTTCTACAAGGCTTTAGTTCACTATCCTGTTTGCATAGTATAGAGAGAGCATTATTTTTCCACTACACTAAATAATTATGCTTATTATTAGTTTTTACTTGATGGAAATTTATTTTTCTCTTTAAAATGAAAGTTATTTCTTTCATAGAGGTATTTTAGTTCTTTATTTTCTCTATCGCTGACGAATTTTTCATAAGTCTCTTGAAAAAATCTTTTTACGACTCTTCTAGTTTAATTCTGAAAATATTGTTTTTTTTTGCCTTAAAAACAATTTAGATCAAGAATCAATATAATTATAAAAACAATGTCACTAAGTAAACATTGAATCTAAGTGCCTATAGTTTAGTAATCATCTTTCAGTATTTTTTTTTACTTCGATATTTATTTCTTTTAACATATCTACGATCAACTATCCAGATAATGCAAATTGAATTCAATACATTGATAAAGTCAGTCAGTCTTTTTTTTTATTAATACGTTTTTTACTCAGAAGTTTTACCATCGATCAACTAATAGCACCAATTATTCACAAAAATTTTCTTTTTGATCAAATAATCTTCTGTCCTAAGCCAGTTTGGCATGCATCATGGGGGATTTAGTGGATTTCAAGACTTCATGGGACGTCAAGTTCAAAGTCGCCACTATTTCCCCTCAGTATGTAATATATTATCTGCCTCTCGCAGTAACATATCAGTTGAACGTATTTAACGTGAGCACGTGTCTAACAGAAAATTTGAGTCTGTTTTTCCCCAATTTCTGTTCGAAAATTGGAGTAATATCTTTTTTAACTCTGAAATAGAAGCAACAAAATTCCTTTCAATATAAAGTTTACGCTCTTTGTTTCTTGTATTTGTTTGAAACTATATAGATTTCTTGATATGAAAAGTGAATTAGTTCAATTTTTGCTTGTATTTCCTTTTAGAGAAAGTTAATTTCTATTTATTTATTCTAAGATGGTTAATTTGAAAATAAACATAATACAGTAGAAGTGTAAGCTTTCGAACTCATTCAGAGTTCATCACGCTCAAGTGCTTTGTATTTCCTCCATCGAACTAAACGTATTTTCGCAATTTGTAATTGTCCTTCTGTATCGCTAAATATCTCTCCAGATGTCATCGAACTGTTTTTTATTAGTAAAATAGTGAATATATTATATTATTCTGCTCTTTCGAAATATTTATCCTAAGAAATCTATTCAGTAATTGTACTAATGAATAGAAAATTCATATATGATTATACTTACATTACATTGAATTTTTCGAGATGAATACACGTATGTTACAATAATTTTTTTGTCTTCTTTCTTTATGAAGCTGTAATTTATATATTTTTATTTTACAATATACGTATTTCTTTGTTTTTGTTTTTGAATTTTAAACCAGTATCGTGTTGTTTGCACAATGCCCCCGTAGAACGCATATAATTAGTTAAGTTTGTTTGCCATCAGAATTGTTTTTTTTTATCATTTTTAATGCTAAAATAATATGCATTAAAAATAAAAAAGAAACAGTCAAACATGAGGTAATTAATGAATGATGTTTGTTGATCAACATTGTACTTCATCAACAGCAAATAAAAAGAGTGTTATTTTGAAGCCGTCGTCAATGCAGTAATGATGTTTTCTTTTGCAAGTCAATTATCAACTTTAGGATAGTGTAACAATATTTGTGGCGATACGCAACAATAAAAGCTTTACAAACATATATTGAATTAAAATGATGTTGTCGCTTGATATGCATATGTAGGGCATCAGAAATAGCGAAAAAAAAATGGTAAAAATTAAATTTTTATTTTGTTTTGGCTATTCAATATATTTTAAAAGTAAAAATCCGAGTCATAGTCTATGCATTGAGAGTTTTTGATTACAAAAAACAAGTCATTTTTTTTGCAAATGAATGCTTTCGTAAAACACATCCTGTGAACATTATTATATTGATATCTCATCATGTATGTAAAAATTTGAAAAGTCAAATTGTGTCATGATTATTATTGACTAACTAATTGTTTTTGTGGAAACAAAATACGGCATTGTTGCTGATTCCTAGAATTTTGTCTCGAGTTTCAAATGGACTTTTATTGTACTTTTCATTGATATCATTCGTCAACTACTACATGCCAAATTTTGATCTAAACTTACGAATAAGACTTCAAGATAACGAAACGGAAGCAATTTCAGTTGCCTTGATATTAAGTCGTATCGAAATCGTTGTCTATGTTCTCTACATCGACTTTTCCAAGAATCAATTTGATAGATCATCAACACTCATAATTACTCAGATTTTCTTATTTTTTGTGTCAGAATGTTGTCTAATTTACGATAGAAGAGGATGACAAACTTCAGCAAAAATAATTTAAGACATTGATGCTCTTCTCTATTACATATAACTGTAAATCGATGTACTTCAGAGTTCGAAACGGGGCAGAATTTTTGCTCCTCGCCTCGACTCTTGTAAAGTGTCCTCGCCTCGCCTCGCCTCAAATATAATTCGTCCTCAGTCATCCTTTTATTTTGTTATTCTCTGTTACACGATGAAATAGAATACTACTAACACTTGTATGCTGTAAATTACATCTTTGGTTGATAATTTCATCTGCTACCAAAGACTCTGTCGGCAGCAGCTGAATTCTGTGACATTATATACATGTGACATGCCAACATGGACAAATCTGGAAAAATATTTTCCAATTCATCTCAGAATGAGTACTAATTTGGACAGTCTTTGCCTAATTTGAAATCGATATGAATATCGACTTCATCTTTTGTTATTGGTGTAGACTTTCTTTTTGTCAGTTCTTCATCCATTAACTGTTCAAGAAAATCTTTTGTTGAACCCTTTTCAATATCAACTGTTGCAGCAGAAGTCACTTTCAACAGACATGCACTGCAAGCACAATAGCATTTTGTTTTTTGAGCTTTTGTTACTGACAGTAGCCGTTTCACTTTTATATGAACACATGAACGCTAGTTAAGGGTACAACAAGGGATATTGCAGGTTTCCAACAGACTGTTTTTGTCAATTTAAACTCAACCAAACGGTTCTGTGCTAATGTTAAGAGATAGAGAATTTTCTGTCGATTTGAACGAAACGTTCTTTTAGATCATCGTTAGATTGTTTTTCGAAACATCAAAGTCACTGAATACTAGAAAAACGCCAACTGCTCATCTACAAAATCATGAAGGTTAAAAATAAAATTTTGCCACATTAGATTGATCTCAAGTTTTAATTTTCTTCACGTAAGGCATGAGAATTTTTGTAGTGCATCAAATACTGTGCCTAGTTGAACATTCTCATTTTGTCTCTTATTGAAAAACTGCAGATTATCTTAAAAACATCCTCGGCCCAATAGTTATATGCATACTTTATATGTCGCTTTCAGGTAGTAAAGTTTTATTCAAAACTTCGGTTTGATGCCTATAAAATAAATATACTTCTCTTCTTTTCTTAGTATATTGTAATAGCGTATAGAAAGCTATTTAACAAATAAAAACGGCTCTTAATTCTAGCGAAATGCTGAGTATTTGATGTTTTCATGGCATGCAGCAATTTCGATGTTACACAGAGATGGAAAATGTTTATTGAACAAAAGAATGTATAAATAAATTCTATATAAAATTCTGTTTTAGCATCTAAAGTAAACTTTTGGGTTGAATCTAATTTGCGAAAGCAGTCTATCAATAGACGCTGCTTTTCTCTGTTGCAGTCTTTATCATTCATCGTACACGATAAAAATAGAATTCAATAAAGACTATTCATATTTAACGGAGAACTTTTATATTTGTACGAAGCGTTGAGTGGATAATCTACTGCACACAGACTATTATTATAAGTCTTTATGCATACATTATTCAAATATATAGTCTATATATCGATATTTATGTTGTGGAACTATCATGAGGAAAGTTCGGGAATTTTAACTTAATCCCGTTTCATCTCGCTTCGCCGTAATTTTTCCCCGCCCCACTTCGCCCCGTTCTAGCTTCTTCCCGCTCCGCTTCTCCCCGCCTCGACCCGAAAACATATTCTCTGTCGTAATCCCTCCCCGCCTCGCCCCGAAAAACTTCCTTGTCTTAATCCATTCCCTCCTCACCTCGCCCAAGAAAGGGTGTGGGTCTGGGTGTAGAGGAGATATGAGTGTTGGTTTGGATGCGAGTGAGGTGTAGGTGTCGGTTTAGGTGTATGTGCGATGTGGCATCGGTACAGTGTCTCGTTTCCATGCTCACTCCAAATCAAAGCTCACACACACCGACAGGCCTAAACTCAAGCCGAAAACCACATCCACACCTGCACATCCACTTGTATGCACAAATTCTTGATCTTTGCTTTTGCTTTGGCATCAATATGGTTTACTGATATATGATTATTTTTTTGATTGAATATTATCTGCGTATACACTCAGAGCGAATACTTCACCTGAAGACATGCTCGACATTGAGTAAATCAATTTTCTTATCTTGATTTATATAAGGGATTTAGCATATCCATCAACCGACAAAAGCTATAATGTAGACAGTAAGAAGTCTTTTATCGTTATGTTATTTTCTCTTTCAGATATCCTGACGAGAAATAGATCTAGGTGCTCCAAAGCTGTGTAGATCGCTTTTTTTAACAGTAGCTTTTAGTACGGTAAAGAAAAATCCGATAGAACTGACTAGAGTCAATAGTTTCGTACTACAATCATATTCCAAACGTACTTTTGTCCTAACGTATAGAAGTCCATGGGAAGTTTTATTTTTAATGAGAAGTATTTTGACCGTCAAAGTCACTCCAAAAGTTTCCGTTCTTTACCTTTTCACGTAGTTATTACGATATGGTATTTTAATATCGAACATCATGTGTTTGGGACACGAAAAGCGGAACGACAAAATACTTATACGAGTACACTGATTATGCATCTCCACATATTTCTCAGCATTAAAAGGGATCAATCTTCGTACCAGTAAGAGAATCAAGAGAAAACTTTGTCTTTATAACTTTCAAACTCTGAAGGTCTTCAGTCATTAAGTGGGCAAAATATCTTACACATATGAAACGAGTGCGAAGCCTAAAAATATCAGTTCAGAGTGTTGAGTGATAAGTTAGTTCTGAATTACCACAAGCTTCATTTTAATTGACTGACATGTAGCTATCCTTAATAAACGTTGACTGGCCTCCATGTGTCTGAGCATGTAGATTTATTCACCGCCGTCACACTGCATAATCATTAGGTCTATTCGAGTTCGTTTTTGGTGATTACTGAATCCATTTCAAGTTTGCGTTCTTGTTGACATTCATGGCCTTCCATTATTTCAATTGAAAATCGATGTACTTATAACAATATTTTGAAACTCTTTGATAAGATGGACCAGATATGGGACAGGCTCAGTTTCAAACCGAACTCAAATCAGCTTTGTTCGAGCTTTTTAAAAACTAGATTGATTCCATTGCAAAACAATGCCAACTAATCCGATCTAAATCTAATATACTAATACGTTTGTTAAGTTGTTTATAAGTTTTGACTCGGTTTGTTTTAGAAATATTTCTGTTCTAAGTTTTTTAACAATAGATTGGTTCGACTTCAAACGAGCACGAACCGTTCCATCTCTGTTACAGTATGTACCACAGATATCTTACGGTGACGTATAGCAGTAGTAGTAATTTTGATTCCACAAAGAGAAGAACTGAGCATTTGTTTGACCCAAGGAAGGGGCACATACGACTATGAATCAATTGATTTTGACTGCAATACTTCAGAGTGAAAAGTTCACCTTGTATTCATTTTGAGATTCAATTCGATCACGAATTTATTTGTCTGCATCGCTACATAATTGGATAAAAAAAAGTTCTAAGATCAACAGTTATGTTTAATTATAATGTTAAACCAATGGACCTTGCATCTAACATAGAAATATATGAACAATCTTTATTTAATATTTCTATTGAAGCTATATTTTCTATTAAATTATAAATTTTATAGGACAGGATTTATATATGCTGATGACGAATTATTTATGGTTCGAAAGCTCTATATAACTATTTGAAACATTTATAATTCAATAAAAAAATTAGAATTTAATAGAAAAGGTAGCTTCAATAGAAATATTACAAAATGATTGTTAATATATGTGTATCAATCAGTTATGGTTCTTTTGACGAAACAAACAGCAAGTGTGGGTGTCAGGTGTATGTAACTATTGGCGGGATACGGAAAGGTGTAGATGTCGATATTGGACTGAAGACGACATCCATTGCCACACTCTACCTGAACTTAGTGATTTTCGAAGAGTTATTTCGGCATATCATCGTGATATTTAACCATGATTCGACAGCAAAAACTTTTATGATAAAATTCTCTACATTTCAAATTTTGCCGCTATTTACAATCCTGCCAAATGGACATTCCGATGATGCATTATGATTCTTGAAATGTTTCTGTCTATTGTACACTGGCAAGTATTGAGAACTCCTTTGAGAATTTATGAGTGGAAACGATAGACTAGTCCCAGTTTCAAAATATTCTGTTTTCATGTCCTAGTGTTCTGTGTTCTACTATAAATAATCGGCGTTATTTTTTCCTTTCGACTTCATCTCTTTCTCCTCTACGTGTAAAATCGTTGCAATAATTAGACATTGCGATTTCATTGTAGAGAAAAGTTAATTAAAGCATACATAATATTGATTCAGCTCCAAAAATTTAACCATGATTCGTCCAATGCAACTCTACTGTTGCTTAATACTTGGTATTTTAATTATTAAATCTGATCAAACTCCGATACTGCCACCAAACACAATCCAAATTCCTCTAAAGTCAATCTATAACAGTTTGGTGCAATCTCAAAATTATTATACGAAAATACAGGTTCCTCGATTTTACACAATTCAAGGTGCATCGAGCACATTTGTTAAAGTACCTGGCCTTACGATACCATTCTATCATACAGAATCACTGTTGTATAAAGTTCGACTTGAAGGCAAACTTTACTCGCCTCATTCAAAAGGAGTTTGGCTATATGCACGTTTGATGATTGATGACCATCTGCTGTATGTAAACAAACTTATGCCGAATACAGCCAATCGATATAAATTCGATAATCTATGTGGATCCCTCGATTGTTTAGAGTATCTTGGTGGTTTTTACTGGCATGTAAATTCGGCAACAGTGGCAACAGTTGTATTCAGTGATATCATTTATTTAGGTTCTGGTTTACATGTGTTTGATGTTGGCGTTCGAGGTGGCCCTGATTCTACTCCTAGCGCCGGTACCTATCCCATATATATCAATACTTGGGTTTTAACCATGGAAGTTATTCAATTCGATCGACAAGCAACCATTGGAATGACACCAATGAATGTTAGCATGAGCAGCTTCGATAGGTAATCAACGAGTGGTTGTCTGGACAGAAACAGAACTGTCTGACAAAAAAAACTTACTGAAAATGGTCATGTATTTCCCTCAGTTGAAATAAAATTCAGCCTATTATATTCCTATCCAAACTTTCACTATTCTCTATCATATATGTATGCAGTAATCGAGACTAACTATTTTGGGTAAAAATTACTGATCTTTTGTACTCTTTGAGGGACAACAATTCAAATCACCAAAACAAGTTGAAGATGTGGGTATATATGAGGGTGGTGATCTTCTCTTCACTTGCAGCAATCCCCCAAACACCAAATTGGCTTTGAACATAGGAAATTTTCCAAAATCAAATATATATTTTTGTATCATAGCGGCGACGACGACACAACTGAGTCACTTGAGCGTTGATGATGACTCAACCAATCAGCTTACATTTCAATGCATGTTAACACAAAAAAAACAATATATCGTAGCTTTATTTGTATAATTCGAATGTATAAAGAGGAGGAAGACGAGCAACATCTCAACAATAGTACAGCATATAAGCGAAGTTTTTTTTTCTAATGCATAGAGTACTGTCACGGTACTTTATTTTTTTGAAATTTAGTACAAAACTCCGTACTTTTTCAAAATCGTAAGTACCCAAATGAATATATTGAACTCAAGGCATCTCGCTACCAGTATATCACAGGAATCTTTGAGCACTCGACTACAAAATGTTTATAAATGTTCAATTTACTAATTTGTTGAGAAAGTTTTCATAGAATGCTATAGAAACTGGATAGGTATCTGATAAGCATCCATGTATTGAGACAATACTCAGCAGGATACCAACTAAGCTCTTGTGCAAATCTCTAATATACATACGTTAAATACTTTGCTTTAGCTTGAAATACTTGATATTAGAAACATTAATTTTTACCGAAGCAGGTTAATGTCTTTCATGAACATATGATAATTATGTTTTTTTTTTTCATTAGTTTGAGAGTTCATACAGATGTCGTTGGTAAGAAGTGCGTCTAATAATAATCACAAGAAAGAAACATCTTTTAACCCATATAATAGTATGAGAAAAAACACAGTTTTTAATAAGTATGATGACTTGAAAAGCTTTTTTCATCGTTCAAATATTCTAAAATGAGTTTTGCCTTAAAAATACTTTTCATGTGACAGCTGGCAGTAGAATCAAATAAAGGTTTCAAATAGCGAATAAATACTGATGTAAAAGTATCATTAGATCATTTTTTTCTTTTTTATTTAACTTCAAGTATATTATATCTCAATTGATCTATAAAGCATCAGCTGGTTAAAAAAGAAAATTATCTTTATACAAAAAAAAAAAAAACACGGAAATATTTCTATGACTCATATGTAGATCACATGTTTGTTCTCTTGTCTTTTTTTTGTTTTTTGAATTGAAAATAATAAAAATATTTTAGATTCTATTATGTCAATAATTCGTCCTAAAAATGCTTATCCGAATGTAAAATATTTTGAATCCATTGAAATATTAAATCAATTTGATATAATTCGAAAAAATTTAGTAAAAAAAAATTTTCATATCGATCCAAATTATTTAACTAAAGAAAATATAGCTGAAATTATTATTCAATTAGTTCATTTGCAAGAAGATCTTCTTGGTCAACAATCAAATAAACAAATTACACGAATTCCTGTAAATAAAAATTCTTTTCTATATATTTCAATTGAAAAATTTTCTCTTTCATTTTGAAGATGAAATGTTTTTTAGATTTTCATGAAACTGGTGCACTTTATCTAATTATTCTTGGTTGTTTTCAATATAATAATTGGTTAGAAAAAAAAAAAAAAAGATTTAATTAATTTTCTTTTTTTATTTTAAAAATTTCAGGAAAAATTTAAATTTAACCATTTATTCTCGTCATGAAATTATTAAATTATTTGAATATTTACAAAAATTATTGATTGAACAACATATTTTAACATTCCCACGATGTTATCTTCATTCAAATATTGATAAAAATTTACAAATACAATTAAAAACAATTATTGAAAAACATCATGGAACTGTTGTTGAATATGAACAAGATGCTGGTCATATTATTTATCCATTATTAAATGAAAATCAACGAAATATTCAAATTGAACGTGAAAGTAAAAGAAAATTTTCAATGAATGTTCTTTGATTTGTTAGATAAAATTGTAACAATAGTAGAAAAGCGTGAACATAATTATCGATTACATTATTGGTTTTATCCAGATTCATTTGATATTTGGCTATCGAATATAGATGATGAAGAATCAGATAAACGACATGAAACATTTCCGAGAATATGGCATATTACAGCTAATTGGATTTTAGATACAGATTTATTTAATGAATGGATGAATGAAGAAGATTATCAGATTGATAAAAATTTAGTAGGAAGTTTTTTAGTTTTTCGTTATCCTTTTGAAAAATAATTCAAGTTTTGATTAAATTTAAAAGGCAAAAAATGGAAAAATCAAACTAAAAAATTGTATCATTGAAAGAAAAACATTATCAATGGTAAGATATAGAAAAAAAAAACATCATTTATAGTTTTCTCAGATTTTAATAAAAAAAAATATATTCGACTCACTTGTCGTTTTTTCCTAACGCCAAATTTTTTTTTCTTTCTACTCTTCATTTGACACATAAGAACAAAAAAATAAAACGCATCATTCACTTGTAACTAACAATGGTGACGTATCGCCAAATATGTCGCTCTCCTCTTCTCTTTTTTCTTCTATCGCGAGAACGGACGGATGAAATAATTCACATTCGCTGCTCTCCCTCAATATTTTTCTTTTCTCCTTCCCCTACAACCTCGCACATACGCACATCTACAAACAGAAAAAAAAAAAGAGACACGACGATAGGGGCACCACTAGTAATACAAAGTGTCGGATAATTAAAAGACATGGTAAAAAAATAATAAAATCTATTTAATAATATAAATTATATTCAATTATTTTAGCTTGTACCTGATCGTAATTCATCTACACCTGTATCATCTAATAGTTCGAAAAAACGCTCGACAATATCTAAACAACGAAAGTAAATTTTTATTTCGAAGTTTATTTATAAAAAAAAAGAAAATAATTATTTTATTTTTTAGATCAAAAAAAGTTCGTAATGATTATGATGATAATGATTTATCAAAAGATGGAGAAAATTCTTTATCACAATCTATATTTGATGATCAATCATCATCAAGAACACGTAATTATTATTATTTTATTATTAAATTTTTCATATCTTTTCGTTTTTTTTTTTTAAGCATTAACTGGTCAAAAAATTACTGATTCTCAATTACCACGTGGTACAATTTTAACTGATTTAAATGATGAAGGTGATGATAATATTGATGATCAACAAATTCAAGGTGATTCATATCAAATAAAAAAATTTCATGAACCTGAAGCATGTGAACAAACTCATCATATTATTATTCCAAGTTATTCAGCATGGTTTGATTATAATTCAATAAATTCAATTGAAAAACGTGCATTAATTGAATTTTTTAATTCAAAAAATCGTTCAAAAACACCTGAAATGTAAAAATATAAAATCTATTATTAAATAGTAAAATAATGTTGTTTCTTTTTTTTTAAAGTTATATGGCTTATAGAAATTTTATGATGGATACATATCGTTTAAATCCAAATGAATATTTATCAATAACAGCATGTCGAAGAAATTTAGCTGGTGATGTATGTGCTATTATGCGTATACATGCATTTCTTGAACAATGGGGTTTAATTAATTATCAAGTTGATGCGGATTTACGTCCAACACCTATGGGACCACATTCAACATCTCATTTTACTCTTTTAACTGACACACCAACGGGTTTAGCTAATAAAGGAATACAAAGAGAAGTAATTTGAAAAACAATATATATATTTTTTTTTTTGAATTTAATATATTTTGAAATTTAAATAGAATTCAGCATCGAAACAAATAGCAGATTTAAAACAAGAAGCTAAAAAAGAAGAACGTGATGTTGAAAGTACATTAGGTTTAAGAACCGATCAATATAATAAAAAACTTAATTTAGTAAGTTATAATTATATTCTTATTTTTCTTTAATAATGTTCTTAAAATTCAAAATTCGAATAATTTTTTTTTCTCCTTGTGGTAAGATAGAACGAAAACGATGGTCATTCTGAATATGATAGTTTTGTCTTTCGAAACTGAATTTCTGATAGTCAAAAATTTTAAAGTACAAATCGATATTTATGGTTGTTTGCTATCATATTGAAAAAAAAACTTGATGTTTTCAACAATTAAAAGAAAAACTTGAATAAATTTTTCTTAAGTTTATAATAGATAAAATCAAGAAATGAATTCAGATAAACATTGATACTTAATGCTTAGATTAATAAAAATAAAACTATGAAGGAACGAGATATAAAGTATTCGTGAAATTTTATTAAGAACTTTAAAACCGCTTTTGTTCATAACCTCTTATTTCAATATCACTAACATTTTACTAGGTCTTGATCTACTATAACAGAACTAACAGGATTTATCTAACCAGGGAAGTACCCCAACTGTTTAAAAGCTTTTCATTTCATCTTTTGACTATAAGCGAGTTCCAGTGAGACTAAGAAAACTCTAAATAGATTCGTTCCCATGACCTATTGATCAAGAGTTATGAGCGATTAACTGAATTTTCGTGAGTATTCACCAAAAAATGAAATTACAAAATTTCGGTCTGAAATTTTGCCCAAGGGTAAGTTTAATGACGATTCAAATATCCTGAAAGGAAAAAATCGTATTCACGTGAATATTTGATATTTCGAGAAGAGAACATTTTTTTTGGCTGAAACTTTCAAGGTATTCGAGTCGTCATTAAACCTAGCCTTGGGCAAAATTTCAGACCGAAATCTTGTAATTTCATTTTTTTGGTGAATATCCACGAAAATTCAGTTACACGCTCATAACTCTTGATCAATAGGCCAGGGGCACGAATCCTTTTAGAGTTTTCTTAGTCTCACTGGAACCTGCTTATAGTCACATGCTTTTAAACAATTGAGGTACGTCCCTCGTAATACTTATCAAACGAAAGTCATAGTTCTGATGAGTTAGCTTTTCATTTTCTGCAAACACTTAGTAACCATGACAGGTGGGAGAAAAAGGATTTCTGTTATAATTACATTCATTTTATTTATATTGTTTGACATTTTATTATCAATAATTTCGAAAGATTTTCATATATAATTTTTAATAGAATACCAAAACAAAAACTAAAGATTGGTTAGATCAAGAAATTCTTCTATTACTCGAAGGTAAATTTTTTTCTTTTTAATTAATATCTCATATTATTGATTGTTTAATATTTAAGGTCTTGAAATGTATAAAGATGATTGGAATAAAGTTTGTGAACATGTTGGTACACGTACACAAGATGAATGTATATTAAAATTTCTTCAATTACCAATTGAAGATCCATATTTAGAAGGAAATGGTTGTTCATCAGGTTCACTTGCATATCCAACAATACCATTTAGTCAAAGTGGTAATCCAGTTATGTCAACTGTTGCTTTTCTTGCATCAGTTGTTGATCCACGTGTTGCTAGTGCTGCAGCTAAAGCTGCTTTAGAAGAATTTTCTAAAATGCATGATGATGTATCAACATCAAATAAAGAAATAAATGATAATTCAAATTTAAATGAATTAAATAATAATGAAGAATCATCGAAAATTAAACAAGAAAAAATGGATATTAATGATGAAAAGAATGTATAAAAACAAAATTTTGTTTTTTAATGAAAATTCTTTTTTTTTATGTTAGATTAATGAAGATCAACTAAAACAAATTGAAACTAATGAAAATGAAGAAATACAAACAAATAATGATGAATCAGCAGTAGCATCATCATCAACTGTTCCGAAACCTACAACACAAAATGATCAACAAGATCCGAGAAAATTATTAGCAGCTGAAATTAATGAACGAGATATTCAAGCAGCAGCAGCAAGTGCATTAGCAGCAGCCTCTGTTAAAGCTAAAGTATGTTTATTTATTAAAAACAAAAAAGGAGATTTTGTTCACTAATAAATTCAGTTCAATCGCCGAAATATGTTTTTCTATTTATTTATTATTGAATCAACTATATTAAATTCATTCGTTATCATGAGATAAACCTATTCGATCGTTGGAGAAACTAGAGAATTATATTGAAACGTACATTTATTCGGATAAGATGAAATATATTAATTATATAAAAACATTATTGATGTTATGTACTTGATTCAATAAGTCTGCACAAGAAGAAAAAGCAGATTCCATTAGATTCTGAAAGTCATAGGATACATTGAAGTTCGAGAAAACAAATCAATGAAAAGGAATAACACACTCTTACGCGAGAATACTTCCGATTAGTATTTTCCATTCGAATTTTCATTTTTCCCATAAGACATCTCTTCTGAATATATTAAAACATTTGTTTTAGTTGAAACATTTTATGCATTGTAGTGACCATCAAATCTGTTTATTAGAAAATTTTGTTCACTTGATTTTTCTATAACTATCTTACCAGTAGTCGGCATCATAGAGTTCTATTTAGGAGAAAAATCTAAATTTCATCGGAAGGTATCAAATATGAATGTCTCCTTGTCAATAGATTTTTATTAAATAATGATGAAGTTCAATGAATTTTGCTGAATCTGATTTAGTTTTGAATTTGTTTGTTTTTTTAAATTTTAGTATTTAGCATCAATTGAAGAACGTAAAATAAAAACATTAGTAGCTCAAGTAGTTGAAATGCAAATAAAAAAACTTGAAATAAAATTACGACATTTTGAAGAACTTGAATCAATAATGGATCGTGAACGTGAAATGATTGAACTTCAACGACAACAATTATTACAAGAAAGACAACAATATCAATTTGAACAAATAAAAACATCAGAATTTAAACATCGACAAACATTTAATGAAAAATCATCATTATCACCGCCACTACCACCACCATCATCATCATCTTCACATATTATCAATGGTAATGATACACATATACAAAGTGAAGAATCAATGGATTCACAACAAAGTGATGGTAAATCATTTTTTTTTTTTCGGATTTTTATATTGAATAAAATTCTATTTTTCTTTTTCTTAGCTTCACCTGCTCAAATATTATTAAGAAACGAAGGTAAATTTAAATCTCATTCGCTTGCTTTGTTTATGCTCTATATCCATTTTCCTATTTGTTGTAGTTTAGTAGATGTTGCATGTTATAGATTAAGCAAAAAAAAAAAAGAATGTATAACGCGCTCTTTTGCTGGCCAGAAAACAATAAAAAACTTGTATTACTACATGCTTTAAAATGTATAAATAACATATTTTAAAACATAATAGAACGATTAGAATTTGCTTTAATGCTTTCGTTTTCCATAAAATGTATCAAGTAGCTAGAAAGAAATATGTTTTCTTTTTTGGTTTGATTTTTGTATTTTGTTCGTCTTTGTGTAGTTGTCGTGTTAGTTTTCTCTATTTTTATATTGATATTAGTTGGCCAGAAGGAGAGCGCATCTATTTTGTATCTTGTCATTGTTTATCTTTTGTGTATGATCCATTGTCTCTGAATGTTTTTATACACATTGGTATTTTTGCACAAGATCCAATAAATTGATGGATTTTTTTTCTTTTTTCCAATTTCAGGTAATACAGTAGAAACATCAACACCATCATCTGTTCCTAATGAAAAAATGCTTATTGGAAATACCGGTGAAAATGATGATGATTCAAATAATATTTCTACATTTACAGAGAATGACAATATTAATAATAATAATTATTAAGAAACTTTGTTTTGTGTGTGTGTGTGTGCATTTTCTCTCATTGTATTATTATTATTTTTTTCTTCTTCTTTTGAATGTGTTGTTCTTTAAAACAAAACCTTGTCTGCCAAGCGTTTAAAACTCATTCGAATGATCTTTGTGTTTTTCTTTTGTCTGTTAGAATTCGATTCTTTTTTTCTTTTCTTTTACATTGCTCTTTACCAATTACTTACACAAAACATATTGAATGTATTAAGAAATTTTCTATGTATTTTTGCTAGAACTAAAACAAAGAGAAAAAAAAACAACAAAGAAATTTATTATTAAGTATCAAAATAAAAAAAACCAACAACAACAACAACACCAACAATCATAATTGATTATTATTTCTAGGGCTATTTTCGGATAATAATAGTGAAATATTTGATGAACAAGATGAAAGTTCAATGTCTCCATCATCATCATCGCCAGCATCATTTTTTTATTTCAAAGATCGAACTTCAACATGTCGAACTATAGGCAATTTTTTTAATAATTCAAAACGACATGGATTAAATGATACATTTAATAATGTTACAACGAGTTTATCTTCTGCAAAAAGACGTAAGTCAGATGATGATAAACGACCTTATCAATGTTCAATATGTTCAAAAAGATTTAAACATAAACATCATTTAAAAGAACATGAAAGATTACATTCAGGTGAAAAACCTTATATATGTGAGAAATGTGGCAAACGATTTAGTCATTCGGGTATGTCTTTTTCAATTGAACAAAAATATATTTCATAATAAAGAAGAATTCCACGCTTAAAAAATCAGTACTATAACATATGCAGTAAAAGATACTATTACTTCTAAAAACATGAATTTCCTCTTTCGAATCTTAATTTTTATGACTCTAAAAGTTTTTCTTATAACTTCTAAACTCGATAGGATAGTGAAATTTTGAACCTATATTCGAAAACAATACAAAACTCTGATTCTAACTCAATGCTCTACAGAATTTTTTAAGAGTCTGAAAAGTAGATGAATATTTTGTCTAATTACTTTTCGATAAACTGTTAGAATTCAATTTTCAAATGAGTCATTACTCATAAATATTTCGGTTATAAATTGTCGACATTTTAATGGTTAATAATAGTAGTTCTCTGATTTCATGTTGTCTCGAGATACGTAGAAACATGTAGAAGTAAGATTAACGCAAGCAATAAGAGTATAGGTTTGCATATAGAGACACCATAAAACTATGATCTTTATATTTTAGTCTCTTATATTCGTATACATCAATTTCTATTAATATTAGATAAGTCGATTAAGTATGTCATAATACCAATACCATTTGGCATTGACTGATATTTAGTATGACCCATACTTCTGCAAAACAAAAAAGCTTTGACCTTCTATTATGAAAATTAACATTGCTATGCATAAGATAGGCTTCTTATTAAGGGTTAGGTTTTTGTTAACTCAGTGAATGAAAACCAGGTTTTCCGAAATCCCATGTTCTTCTATTATGCCTTGTGTAATTTTCTTTCGTAAATGATCTTGTAATATAGAATGACTCTCTATTCTGGAGCAAGAGGGTAGGTTAGGATTTGATTGGTGTCAGTACTAATATCGGCGTCAGAAGTCAGTGCACTGGGATGTTTTTTGAATAACTTTCGATAGGAACAAGTTAGAAACCTGCGCTTTTCAGCATTTGATAGTCAAGACCCAGGAGCATATTTTCATAAGCAAAAATCTTTGCTAAGAAAAAAATTCGAAGATCAGTTTTTCAGCGGATCTTTGGAAAACGACGCTGGGTTTCTGGAAACTGCCGTAGAAGTATATTGATTTTTTTTACATATTTGGAATCAGCATCGAAGACTGAGTCGATTCATGTATGGCTCGAATCTTTTCATCAACTTTTGTTTCGTCGAAAAATTCGTCCCTAGTTCCTCTCTGACGGGCAGATAAAAAAATGAACTTAGTCAAAATGTCATTTTTATTATTTATTCATTTGCCATTTTATGTTCTTCTAGCATTTGACGACCTCTGAACGTGCTTTCCACTATCTAAGTGCCTTTTTGACTGAATACATTTTTTACCTACCCGTTGGGGAGACTAAGGACGAATTTTTCGATGAAAGAACAAAGTTCATGAAAAGATCCGAACCATATATGAATCGACTCAGTTTTCGATGCTGATTCCGAATATGTAAAAAAATCAATATACTACTACGACAGTTTCCAGAAATCCAGCGTCGTTTTCCAAAGATCCGCTGAAAAACCGATCTTCGAATTTTTTTCTTAGCAAAGATTTTGCTTATGAAAATATGCTCCTGGGTCTTGACTATCAAATGCTGAAAACCGCAGGTTTCTAACTTGTTCCTATCGAACGTTATTCAAAAAAACATCCAAGTGCACTGACTTCTGGTGCGGATATTAGTATTAGCTAATATCAATACCTCTATACTGTATTGGTATTGTGACATGTCTAAAGTAGATCACAGGAATCGATTTTATTGGCAACCTGGTTTTTAATGCGACACAAATTCGACTTTCGTAGGATTAGGATAGAAAACTAATAGTCTAATCTTCTTTATATAAGTCGTGTCATGTACTGTGGAAATCGAGAATGCGAGAAACGTATTAAAGATAAGAGTGTCGTAATGAATATTCAATATTTGCTCTTGAGCTGATACATATTTCAATGTATCAGCTTTCTATTGATAAAAGCTTTTTTTTAAAATGTATTTCGTTAATTCTTATTCTTGTTTTTTTGTTATTTAGGTTCATATTCTCAACATATTAATCAACGTAATAAATATTGTCGACCTGATGAACCTCATATGGACTTTGATTAAATAACAGAACAATATTATTTTATACTTTCCTTTTCTGACAATACAAAACAGTTTTGTGTAAATATAATTAATTCAAATATGATATTTTGCAATCATTCGAACAGTATTTATATAAGATAGACATTTCTGATTACTATTTGATATTTATATAACGTTATAAAATATAAGATCAATCATTCCGAACAATATTCTTTTTCAGTTTGATTATTTTGTTTTTCTAAAAACAATGTTTCTTTGTTTTTTTTTAATTTCGCAATATATTCAAGTCTTTTTTTATGTTAATAAAATTTATCCTAGAAATATTTTTTCTTTCAATGATTTATCTCAATTGAATTTTTGAATACAATAAAAACAAAAACAAAAATGAAATGTTTTACGCAATATCTAAATTGTTTATTATTTCTTTTCGTTTTCTAATAAATTAACATTAATAAACTACTGATAATCGATACTACGGATATAGTTATTGTTATTGCTGATGATGAAACATTTATTGATTTAATATCACGACATAAACCTGAAACACAACGAAGTTTTGTTGAACAAATAATTCCACCTTGACGTTGACATTTTAATTCTGCAAGTCGACTTTCTCCATTCCATAAACCTTTACAACGATTATGATTAAAATATAAATCCAAATGTCTATTTTCTAATGCACCAACACCAACTTGTACTGTACCATGTCGAATAGCAATAGTTGTTCGTTGTTGATCAAATATAAATGGTCCATTTGATGTACAATTTTCTTTTGGAGAATTACATTCACATGAATCAATTACATATATTCCACTTAAATTTTCACTTGAAATTTGTTTTATAATGATTAAATTTATGAAAAATATAACAATTGAATGAAACATGTTATAATGAAATGTAACAAAATGAACGAAATTTATAGGAGAATATTTTCATGTAATGGATATTTTAAGCTATCGGATTTTATATACAATTGATTGAATAAAAAAAAAAAGATTAGAACTAGAAGTAATTTAATATGTTTTATGTATATGAAAGAAATATTGAACATTTATTTCAGGGTTAAATCTTAAACTAAATTTTAATTTGATCCTAAACGATACTTGATTATAAATATATATATTAAAAGAACGATTTGTAATAAGATATTGAGTAATACTTTATAAATTCAAGTTTGAATTAGTTCTTCTGTAAGCATATTTGAATAGGTTAACTATTTTTTTTTTAAAAGAGTACTATTAAATTAATCACTCTATCCTTTGTGATTATTTTCATTTTATTTACATTTAGATAAGAATTAAACGTTTTCTAATAAATTTTCAACATTAGTAATATGCATTTCACGAAACAGAAACTTTTTATTTTCAAGAGCATTATTAAGAAATAAATTATTTCTATACATAATTAATAATATATTGAAATTTTGACAATGTTGAAATGAATATAGCAAAAAAAACAAAGGTTGGAATTTGATGGCTAGATTTTGTTTAAAAACTATCTATTGGTAGATTAATTATAGCTGTTTTTTCGCTCAATTGAAAAGCAAATGTAAAATTTGTTTATCTTGAAAAATATTAGATTCTATGTAAAGATTTTTCAATACAATTTTAATTTCTTTATCGATGATTTCATTTCATGAAATTTTTTTTTATCCATAAATGTTCATGTTGTTAACGAAGTGTCTATGATGATCGGTTTTTTTAGTAAAAAATGGCTTAATTTGAAATTATTGGCCAATTGATCCTTTAATAGAAATTAGGAGAAACACATTTTTGTTTCAAGTAGTTTGAACATTTACAAATGTATTATGATTTCGATAATAGTTACTTAGGTGCTTAACAATCTAATTTTTACTTTTGAAAATTTATCTATATAAAAGATAAAACAACATGATTTTAAATTCAATTTCAACAATATCACATTCCAATCATTTATATATGCACCATGGTGAATAGACAATACCCAAAAATGAATGACTAAAGGAATATAAAAATAAACATAAAACATAAAACATAGTATTATTAATGTATCTTCTTTACTACAAACTATTCTGTATGTTTAATACATAATTCTTTCATAGAAAAGTTTATTTAAAATGAATTATAACTTGTAACAGACGTCTGTTTATATTGAATACTTGTATACTACATATTTATTCATTCAAATGTTTATTAAAAATCTTCTTTTGGTATTTATTGATAAATCAAAGAAAATAAAAGCTGACAAAATATTTCATTATAAGAATTTATTTTCTAAATAGAAGTTAAAACATAACCGTAAAATTGAAGAGTTTTATAATAAAATTCCTGACCAATCAGAATCAAACTTCGTTGGGTATGAATCCTTTCCTAGTAATCAACGATACAAGGCAATAGATTTCTTTCGTATAGTCTTTTAGCAATATGCTGAACTCCATTAACAACAAAACTTAGGTTATTCCAATATATTTTTGAGTATCTTAAATAGCGCAGAGTTTTAGATTTTTTGCGTAGGTAAATGATTATATAATAGATATACAGAAAAATAACTAATGATATATTGAGTAATGCCAGTCGTCATATCAATAAGGTAAAAAAAAGCATGAAGCAATCAATTATTGAAAACAATAAAAAAGTAATTTGCCAAAATGAAACTTTTTGAATAAATTTCTCAATAGAATTATTAAACAACTATTATATTATGTTCGATTCGATCTATTTCTTTTGTAATCACATGGTTTACTTTTTCCGTTCTCGTTCTTTTTTTTCTCGATATGACATTCAAAGTTTGCTCTATCCATCTCGACAGTCACAAGCGGGACAAGATCAGGTTTTTGACAGCTTTTAAACTAAAACGCACAAAGGAGAAATTGCTCTCATTATTAGAAATCAAGATCATGAGAGATAAAAATGACCGATGTTTTTTCCCTTTTTAGTGTATTAACACATGTTTTAGGCATTTTGTGACTGATTGGAAACTAGATATATTTCGAAGATAAATATATAACTATGCAACCTAAAAAATCGAACCAGATGCAACAGCATTTTCACTGAAAAACCATCAAAATTCACACATTATTTCGCTGTTTTTGAAAATGAGTTTTTGTTTGACAAACACAACATAGAAAACTGCTTCTATTATTCAACCACAGGGCATTTAAGCGAGCTCAAACTTTCTTCTAATTTTATTAAAATCTGTTTGAGATGTTGATTGTTTTTTCATTTCAAAATATATGATGTACTGATAGTAGCATCCGGAAATTTTCAGTCTATTAGAATAACTGTTGCTCTTCTCATTAATATTCATCTGAGCTGAAAATTACAAAAATTTGAAATAGAAAAATATTTTTCAAATTATTGGCTTTTCTTCAAATGTAAAGAGGAAAAAGAATAAAATAAATGCCGTTTTTCAAACTCTGATTACATAATTGCAAATATCTAATTATATACAAAAAAAAACATCGTTTGACAGCAACTGTTCGTTTTTCTGTTTTTAATATTTTAATGATTGACATTATAATTAAAGTAATAAAATGATTGATTTTGCCCTTTTAGTTGAATATTATCATAAAAATAAGTCACTTATGATGCCCTTCGTACAACATTGACAATATTGTTTAATGATTTAGAATAACATGTTCGAACTATTAAATTTTTGATATAATGAATTCATTGTTTCGTCTTATTTAATAACAGTGAAAAGTACATGAACTCAACTATAAATCCTAGAAAAATCTTATAATTTATTTATTTTTGTTGATTGAAATGATATTCAATTCTTCTCACAATTAGACAAAATAATCAAGATTTAGAAGAAAATTCTATAATATCATTTGTAAAATATTCATGTCAAGTTGTTCGACAAATATGATTATCGATTATTGATCGACTGTAAAATAACTACTTTCATACATTGACAGAACATGAAAACTACTTTTTTCTTTCTATTCATTTATATAGGATAAGCGTAAAAAAAATCATACATGTCGACATTGTATTATGTACCAATCATTCAAAATAATATAACGATGATAAGTCAATTAGAAAATGACTATTATCGATGACATTATGTGTCTTCAATGAAAGTTACAAACGAAAGGAAAACCGTATACCATTCGTATCGAGACGTATTATGATTCTTTATCTTTAACATTTTTATAAACAAAAATGATTGTAAGTTATTGTCCATACTTGACATGAAAGCAAAATCATATATATCAGCATAATCGTCTACATACAAAACAGCTAATATAGACGTAGACATATAACAAAAAAGAAAAAAGCATCTTTATATATAGTAAATCCATTGTATTCATACTCTCGTGGTCAAAGCACACTTATTTTCCCTCTTTTCTCATTGGTGTTAAATTAAAAGTAAGAAATTTTTACTTTTCTGCATCTACGTCAAAACATAATTACATAGATTGATTTATTCTTTTTTTTTTCTTTTCATCTTGCATATAAAAGGATCTGTTTGGCCATTCATTTTTATACTTATATTAACCAACTCCGTTAAAAGAAAGCTATGAATAACAGCACTAATACGTCAATAGAAGATATTACGATTGAAAGAATTCATGATACCGGTGATAATGCTTGGATGATGATATCCACTGCGCTAGTTTTACTTATGACACCAGCATTAGCTTTTTTCTATGGTGGTCTTGTTGATAGAAAAAATATTTTAAATCAACTTTTTCTTTCATTTATTTGTATGGGTATTGTCTTTTTACAATGGGTTCTATTTGGTTTTTCATTTGCTTTTGGTCCTCCAATTAGTGTTGGTTTTGGATCATTTAAATGGGCTGTATTAAGATTTGGTGAAGTGGAGAGTAATATCTATAGTCCAACATATCCTTTATTAACATTTGCTGCATATCAAGGTACTTTTGCTATTATAACACCAGCTCTTATTTCTGGTGCAATTGTTGGTCGAATGAAACTAATTCCTTATATGATATTTATTTTTATATGGACAACTGTTTGTTATGATCCAATGG